CAGACTGAACCTTAGTTCCCAAGCCAGCCAGCCACAACACCGTGAATTCCTTCGGGAGGTGCCAGTCTCATCTTCCTGAACTTCCCACGCTCTTGCTGGGGGCTAAGAACACACTTATCTCCCTGAGCCTGGCCTTCATAAGTCCATTCCATCACACATACTCAGATAATGCTTTTCTTGTTATTTCTGACATTCACTGTAAGCTTCAGCAAATTCTGAGCCTTACCTTACCTTTCCGGACTCTATCCTTACAGAGTCTATCCCCTGATATTCTGCTTCTGTTATAAGTCCTTCTTTCCATTTTTTAAACTTGCCGTTTTCGTTTCTCAGAGAGTTCTTTATACAAACATACCAGTTTTTTCAGGTGTCTCCCATTTTTATTTCTCTTTGGTACTGTTTGTGTTTGAGACTTATTTCACTTTACACAATTTTCCAACCCTTTTGAACAGTTTTGCCCTTCAGGCTTTCAATCCATAGAATATTTTCTACTTTTCTCTTTAGCTTAATGAACTCCACTCTCTTGAAATCTAGGAACACTAATCTGTCTCCCTTTAGTTTGCCTTGCCTGCAATATGAGGAATTCTAAAAGCACATGTCACTCTATCTCAAGGTTTCTACAACTTCCACTTCCCATTAGTAAGTATTAAGTCCTTCATAGCTGATCTCCTAGTTCTTCCTTCCAGCTTTTGGACACTGAGATTGTCTGCAAGGCACCTCAAGAATTTGTTAGCTCTCTTACTTGCTGCAGAGTTTGATTCCCAGTTGATGTTGGGATAGCTGAAATCCCCCATTATCACAGTGGTATGTTTCCTGGACATCTTGACCATCTGACTGTGAAGATTTCATCTATATTTTCTGCTTGGTTGGGTGACCTGTATTATCAGGCAATACCATTTTTGTTATTTTAGAGTGAATGCTGTTAGCATTAACTAGATTTAGCTGTATTTCATTTCCTTTTCTCTTGTCGTATGACAGAACATATCATCAAACTATTGCTACAAGTGAACCAATGCTGCCTTCCCCTAGGCATGAATCAGCCACATTTCTTGATGTCATGAGTAAATGTTCCAATTTTTAACTGCACCTATAGCAACAAGATTGTTTCCAACCCTTATTGAACATTTTGAGATGTTCAGTACACATGAAATAATGTTTTCTGTTTTATTACCTATTTTAAGATAAAACATTACTTCACAAAAACATATTAGATTTCTAATAGCTCTAATTGCTTTAACCCAAAAAAGAGATAACCCAACAGCCAGTATTTATGAGAAATGTTACTTACTTGGGGTTTTTCTAACTATTATACTATGGTTAGACATATTTTATTAAATCTTTAGATCACAAAATAAGTAGCAATGAGTTTTCTCTCTCCTTTTAAAAAGTTATGCTGTAGAGCTGAGAGCATTAAAGAACAAAAGGGAAGGTATGATAGCACACGGACGTGGTGGAAGCAAGGATAAAAAGATGGTTTGCAATTATATAAAAGCATGGAAAAGTAAAGTGAATTGTGCTGCTGTAGATTTAGTTAGATTTCCTTTTCTTTACTCTTATCTTTTAATTTCTTAAACTTAATTACATCTTACTGTTTTTCTCTGCTTTGCAGAAATTGCTTATCCTGAAAACTAACAGTGATTTTGTAATATGTACGTAGTGGTACATGTCAAGGATGATTCCTTCTTTCAAATTTGGAGGAAAAAAGAAATACTAATTCTAGAAATGTATACACCCAATCCATCTGAAAGTAAAGGGATTGCAGAAGGTGAAGCAGAGTATAAACCTCTGCTGTGTGCAGATGATGTTATGCTTTAGAAATAAAACAGGACTTTATATTCTTAATCTTTTTTCTCAAACTTGGTAGCATGCATGATTATTCTATATAGTGGGTTAAATTAGACTTAAAAGACATTTATTATGAGTAATAATTTTGACATGTTTAGGAACTGGGATTTTAGATTATGTTCTCTTTTATTTATAAAGATTCCTTAAAGGTTTTCTCAACTGGTGAATCCCCAACTTCAACTCAAATAAAAGGCGGCCTGGACAGGTGTCTAGCATTTCCTTGAGCACTTGAGATAAAACAAATATATTAAAGATAAATTTAACTCTGAACTTGATACATATATTTCATGAGCTTTTCCAATTTTCATTCCTCTATATTACTTCAGATGCACTTCTAAGACATGAATTTTTGTTTTGGCTGCAGGAGCCAGAACTTTCAGAAAAGTTCAAGTTCATTCGCTGAAATCTTAAAAAGCAGGATTGCTTGCATATGTCAGAAATCATTTGGAAGAAGTGCCATGAACCTTGCAAAAGCACAGTACCTACCTGAAGCCTGAAAAGAAAGCTATGCATACTTTAATAAATAGCAGGTGCTATGCTTGTCCAAGGTCTGAATCCCTTTTTACAAATAATTTTCAAAGCATGCCCAGCCCCACTAGCACATATGCAGATCCTTGTTTCTTCAGGAATCAGTTTCAATTTCTGCATTAATGTCATAAAATAAATATGGAGATTATTGGATCACAGACATAATTTGACCTTTAGACCATGAAGAGCTGATATCATGGAATAATTTCTTTAAAATACAGTAGTAGTAGAATCTGTTTGCGGGAAACTGGTTCTTCCATTGTATTATTACTTTGGGCCAATTCAGTTCTGATGGAACAGTGTTGATAATTTATGGAGAACTTAAACAGAGTTTGATTTATTCAAAGTATTTCTTGATAGCTCATTTAATGAAAGCATCAGTTACTTAATGATGCTACAGCTGCTTGTGAAATTCCACATTTGTTAAGAGAGTGTGGAAAAATGAATTATGTTCTAAGCCTATATTTTGTTTTTTATAAGATACTGAAGAAATTTGATAAAATTTATATTATTTGCTATTCTAATAATTAGCCTGAATGTCCTATTTCGATAAAGCAGTGGAATGTTGTTTTTAAAATGTAACTCACTATTACCTTAACATGAATGATACCTTAGAAAGTCTTAGTAAAAGTTGTTTACAATTGTCAGAGATGCAATTCAACAGTAGAAACATTCACTCAGACGGTTTGGCCTTGCCCCTGCCCTGTTGTTCTCACATTTGAGGCTAATATCCATAAGCCTGTTACTATGAATTTACACTACTACATAACATGGGCACACATGTCCTTCTTGGCTATAATCTCCATTATTTGGAATCTATTGAGACAAAGAATTGTGAAATGTTTACATATAGAGAATGGTTGTTGTTATTATTATACAACATTTTACACAGGAATTACAGTATAATACTGGCAGAAAGAGATACACCTGATTTGGAGCACTCAGTTGCTGATAATGTGTTGCTCATTAACATTTGAATCGGGGGGTGCTTTACTTTGTTTTGGGTTTGTTTGTTTTTCTTAAATAAAGAGTTAGGGAAGATGACTTTTAAGCAATTTTGTCAAATTTTTTGTATTTTTTTATGATAAAAATTTTCCAGACCTTTTTTTCTTTTCCTCATTTTTTAAATTGTATGCTATATCACATTATTAACACAATTATATACACGCACACGTTTCTTGTTGCTTAATCTGATATACAGTTTTTTAAAAAAGAATCAGTTACAGGAGAGGCAGCGAGGGGCTGGAATAGAGATTGATCTTTCTCCATACTATTTTCCTTTACAACTCCCTAGACATGTGAATGAGGGCTATATATTGATATGTAGCTCTAACCTGCCACATGATACTTGGGGCTGATGAGATTGCTCACTACTGGGATAAAATAATAGTTGTTATATAAGAAATTTTAAAAAATGGAATATGAAAAGTCAATCCTTCTTACAAGTTAGTTTTTTGCTACAATAATAAATAATGCTGGCATGCCATATACAGCGCAAGTCTTCAAATAGGTAGCAATATCAACAACTGCTAATACAGAAATAAAGAAAATGAAATGGTACAATCTTAACAGGTATTCAAAGAAAAAAATAAGTAGCATACTGGAGGTCTACCAGGACGACCACGTTTTCTTTTCCCCTTCAGTTGTGTTTCTTCCAATTCACTACCAACATCTGAATGTGCAGTAGCTTCATTTGTAGAATCCCTGAAGGAAAATGCCAATTAAAAATATAAATTAGTAAACATAACTACATAAACAAAATAAAAACAGTAACATTTTGTGGTAATACAAATTATAGATAAATTGAGACTAATTCAGTAAATTGAGGCTAGCCACTTTATGCACTCACAAAATCTCTCCACTCACAAAAGTATTAATATGAAGACAGTATAGTCAGCAGAAATCATATATTGCTGAACTACAATATCCAGTAATCATCATCACTGACCACAATGCCTTGACTTCAAGGGAACTGGAATCCAACATCTGAAGAGCTACAAATTTTTGAAACCTGAACCAAATCAAATAAAAGATCTGTATATGAATTATTAGATTAATTATTAATTTAATTATTAGATTAATAATTTGGCTATCATCCTTGTGGTTCATATATACAGTATATGCTGGTCTTCCTGTTTGAAGTTTAATTCCTACTGTATACATTAGCTTCTCACAAATAACATATGCATGGTATCAGTCATGATTTCATTTGTGAAAAGTGGAAAGATTCAAAGCAAAAGCAAGCTCCACAAAGACATCCATACATGCGCACACTTTTCTCACTGTGCTTATTCAGCCAGTTTTGACAAATCTTGCATGTATACATACAAGTCCCAAATAAATGTTGATTAAGAAATATGTAACTATGTGATATTTTGTTTTATTTCCTATAGAAGTAGGTTAGGGAAAGTCCTTTAAGCCTATAACCTTCTATTAATGTTGCTGCAAATTTAGAAAGCTTTTTACCCTCACCCTGTGAGGCCATTTAACTAAGAATTCTCTACAGCAGCTATCCAGGATTAAAGATATATATATTTCCTATAACCCATCTTTAGTGTTTCCAAATTGCACTTGCTACTTATTGCAACTACTCTATTATGATATAGTTCTTCCTCATTTGCTCAAGCTGTTTTTCACCTCTATACGAGGGAACAGAATTCATCAAAGACTGATGAAAAAAGAACTGCCTCACTAAAAAGAAAAGAAAAGCAGAAAGAACAGAAAAGCCAGATAACAGGCCACATTCTTGCGATATTGAAACTACCGTTGCTATCTGAAATACATAATCCTAAAAAGAGTGGGCCACTAGTATAGCTCCTTCAAATGTTTGTATTTGCTTCCCAAGACAATAGTTTTAACTACTAGAAAAAGCACTTTCACTGTATCAAATAAAATACAGATGCTATACAATCCTGCTTCAGTTTTTTAAAATGAAAACTAGGCTAAATTGTTATAAATGAATAAAATAAATGTATTTGTTGAGAAAGTAGTCAAATATGTTTATACACTGTTAAAATTAGTGCAGAAGTCAAAAAACTAAAAGAGTATCTATAGTAAGATCTTATCACATCACAGAACCCTGTAGGCATGTAGGTATTGGGAGAATAAAATTATGATAAAAGAGATCTATATTAGATAATTTACATTTTATTAGCAATATAAGATAAGATTGTTTAAGAACCACTGTTACAATGTACACAAGATAAATCAGATAATAAACAGTATTAATTTGGAAATACACCAAAAATGTATTTGAAAAGAGGAGGCAAGGAGGTAATTGTCCATATATTTATGAAACTAATTCTTTTTTTGATTAAGAGGGAAAACGACAGGGAAGAGTGTAAATGACCCTGAGTATAAAAGTGAAGCCAGCAATTTCCTTGAATTAACATATCACAAAGTTAGTATACTGGTCTATAAGGTGTTGTTGTATAAGACGACTAATTCTCAGAATTGTATGTGGCCTGTGCTAAAATGGATCTGTGTTAAGAGAATCCAGATTCTGTAGTAACAGCTGGATCAAACCATCCAAAGAACTTTTTGTTGTAAAAAAATTATTATAAAACAAACTTTATCTCATGCAAGGTTTTATACCAAGTAACTAAATAACCCAAAGTTGTTAAGTGAACACTGCAAAGTAAGCCATGTTCACATTATTTTTTTCTGTTATCAATCTCTTGTTTGGACTTAAAACTTCCTTAGGCTTTGCTCACACATTTTCAAACTTATTCTTATGAACATGTAGGTGAAAAATACCAAGGTGAGGTTAGAAATGGAAACAGATTTCAATGTCAAAACATATCCTGTGAATTTCTTGCAGAATCACATACACTGGTCTATTGCAAAGCAATATCTCTCTGGATTCTACATCAGATGAATAGGATAAACTTTATGCAAAAGAACTGGACTCAAGCTTGACATCAGGACTCCAAACAAGGACAAAGCAATTATCAGAGGATTTCAACCTATCAGAACACTCTGTTGCAGACCTCAAAGTGACCATTTTGGAAAAACAAGACTTTAACAGCAACTTTGAGCAGGATATTGGTGAACTCACATATATTAAGGTCTCAACAAACAGCTTAACACATTACAATTATTAACAGATACTTGTAACCCATCTTACATGTAACCTGCATCTGCACAATCAAGCTGTCTTGCCCCATCCCAATCTACATCAGTCTAGCCACTCTATGCATCTGACAAAGTGAGTTGCAGCTCACAAATATTTTGGCCTTTTAATAAAATTTGCTAGTTGGAAAAGATGTTACCAACTCTTTCTGATCAAAAGTTCTATGTAATTTTTAAAGAATTATATAAAGCACATTATAGAATGTTTATAGAATTACATAAAATACATGGATATGTATATATTATGTTTGGGATTATATCGTGAGGCTTAAAAGTGGTATCCTTAAGAAGTACATGTAAAAAGAATATGAATGTGTTGCATGTAAAAAGGATATGAATGTGTTGGTCCTTGTATTCTGAGAACCTGTCTCCCTGAATTGACAAGTCATAATACATCCCTGTATAATACCCTTCATGCTATTCCTGTTCACTGTAAGCAACATTATAGAAAGCACAGCTAAACATTAAACAGTAATAAGAAAAAGAAAATAAGGCATAAGTTAAGAAAAAATAAAAGAAAATATAATTAAATCTTGTTTATATCAGTATCTATACCTCTCCATATTTTTCAATCCTTGTAAACCTGTACTTGCTTCCATCGGGCCCATATGCTGATACATACATACATACATACATACATACATACATGTGCTGCTTTTTGTTTTTTAAATTTGTCTCCCCTCACTTTTTTCAGGATATCAACTCCATCTAACTTTCTTGGCCTTCCCCTTCTTCTGAACCTATTCACTCTTCTTCATATATTTACACTGAAATTTGATATTCACTCATTGCCTCTATATGACCAAACCACCTCAATGTGCTTCTTTTGTACAGGTTTTTTTTT